AAAAAATGAAAAATTAGTTGAAAATCTCGTTTTTACTTGATAATACAATGATAATATTTATAATTGTCTGAAATAAATGCAATTTTAAAGTTTTAATTATTATTTAAACATATTAAAAAGTTTTACGCTCATTATTAATAAAGATTGAAACTAAATATTTTTTTGTTTCGAAGTTGAAATTAAGGCATATTCACTGCCAAAAGTCAGTTAAAAATTTTCCATATTATTCGTTATTTCTTATTTTATTCAAAGTTTTTGGTCAAATTCCAAATATGCTGCAAAACCTAATTAATCACGAATTTCTAATTTTATGTACTCTTATCTCCGATTGTATCTTCCAAACATCCTTAAATGAGAGAGCATTAAGACTAAGTTTTAGGTAAATCTGACCACAAATAGCATATGCCCCATTCAAATATTATAACTTCTTTTCACCAACTCCCCCCCCAACACAGGTTGAATTTTTTTACCAAGTTTCAAGTAGATCTGACCAAAAACAAAAATTTTGAAATAGGTACGCCACCAATTTTATATAAAACTAACTTTCAAGTAAATCTGATTAATATATAAACGTTACCCCTTTACACCCCTTTTCAGGGGCTGAAAATTTGGAATTGAAATTGGTCCAGCCGTTCTCGAATTTTGCACTTAGCTACACATCTAGCTACCCATTTTTATATATATAGATTTGTCATACAATTTAAACAATTGTTGATACACCTTTTGTATAACATTATCCTTTACTCAAACAGTTACGAAAAGAAAGAAATCTAATGACGTTTTACAGAATTTATTCGAATACTCGACTGTGTGAACATCAAATGCATTTTTTTATTACATTTACATATTTATAAAAATGCTGTTATTCAAACGTTAAAATGTTCTGATATTCAACGCAAATCACATTTACTGATAACACAAAAAGGACATCTTAATTGATACTTTTGTTAGAATTTTGGTTTTATATTCAACTGGACTTCAATCACTAATACAGTTTTTTATTAAATTTGCGTATATTTTTTGATCAATTTATTACTTGTCGCAAGTCAATTATTATATTTTGAACTTTGAACTGTCAATGTCTAAAAGTTGTTGCCTTTTTTTAACGCAATAAGTTCAAACAGCGGTTCAAAAATTGGGTTATTAGAAAACAAGCTGTATTGCCATTAGAAGAAGAAATTGTTTTCGCTTTTTGTAACAAATAATATTTAGTCGTATTTAGGTAGGGAACAAAGGTATAAAGTACAGCTTGATTCTGTCCGTATTTTACCTTGTTTTTTCAATACCTAGTTATAAACGAGCAACAAGTTTTTAATTACTTTAAGTTGCAATCGAAAACAAATACATACCCAGTCGTATAGACGGCTGAGTATATTTTGAAGATTTCCCTTGAAATTGAATGACTAATTATTCGAGAAATGTTAAAAAACATCTATAATGGGTATTATAAATAAACTCTGTATAAATTACAGTTACCTAGAATAGGTAAAAATATTTTTTTGTAAATGTGAACGATAATGAATCTTCGTTCACCCTACAAGAACATATTTCAGAATTTAAGTGGTATCTTCATTTGAGTATTTTGTAATATATCGACAATGATGAACAGATACAAAATAATTGACAAAAATGCTAAAAATGATCAAGTGTGACATGGTTTGACCACCAAAACAATTGTGTTTAACCACCTCTTAGAATGACCTTAAGTTTTTTAATTATCAGAAGTGTAATGAAGAAATTCACTATGATGGGGTCATATTCACACATTTATCGTTCCTAGTCCTTTATATAAGAAAAGTTAAAAGTGCACGTGGATTCTTGAATTGTCTATCAAAATCAGCAAATAAATGAAAAAATCTTTGTATCTTAATAAAAAAACTAACTGTTTTATATATACAAAAATTAAATTTTGGGAATTAAAGAAGAATAAAAACTAGAAGTTTGTATGAAAGCAGTTATTAAATAGATGAACTCCAGAATGGTTTATTCACGACTATTAACTAATCTTCCCTCATATGCGCCATGTTTTTTTTAAGCTCTTCTCAATTCCTATTATTTTTGTGCTTCTCCTTTTTCTATTTACGTTTTAAAGTTGACTTTTCAGCTCGATTATAAATTGAAAGTAGCACGTTAAACTTAAAGCAGAAATCTTGTTGTTTCTTATCTATTGTTACGTTACTTTTTTGTTATTCACTGATTAAAAAAAACTATTACAATTGATGAAGTCAAGAGTTCGTACAATTTTAAGGTTTAATTGGTGATAGGGTTAAGATTTTGTTACCCTAAACATAAAATATTCATGTCAATGTTTTTTTATCTTAAAATTGAAGTTGTATTGTTTTTCTAAATATATGAAACAATATCTTTTAAGTTTTAATTTTTATTCCTTCGTTTGGTTGGTACTTTTCATTATTAATTACCCAGGTTAAATACGATCATTTTTAAAAACTATTTGTGTCCAAGAAAAGAACAAATAATGTAATGTTTTTGACCTTGTATTGAACATTTGCTAATTTGAAAAGTAAGAATAATAAGTGACATGCACATTGACATGAGTATTGTGTATATTCATTTCTAATTTCTTAAAAAAGACGTCATTCCTTGTTATTCATTATTTCTCAAGACACGTAGATTACTCCAAAAAAAGTAATATCTTTTTTGATTTCGCAGAAAATTACGTTAATTTGATATGTTTTAATAATACTCGCCAAAAAACAGATCGATTATAAACTTTTAAAAGATCGATTTTTAATTTTTAATTTAATTTGTTCTGTTGTTATTTTTGTCTACGTTTGAAATTGTATACTTTCTGAAAATTTCTAGTCGGTATATCATTCTGAAAATTTCAAGTCGATATTAGTATATAGTTATAGAGGTCGCGCAATGATTTTTAATTTTTACTGAAAAAAAAATTCTTTTTTAATTGAGCTGATTTTTTGGTGAATATAATGAAAACATGTTAAATTAGCATAGATATTTTCAAGGGAGATCAAAAAAAATTTGTTTCCTTTGAGTCACCCTAATATACATATAAATATACATTGGATAAGTAAGAGGGTCAATGAAGAATTCAACGACCATAAAGCCAGGGAGTTTTCATATGGAGGAGGGGGTTGAAATATAAACGAACCTTTGATAATTGAGACTGACCGAGCGACTGCTTAGCATTCGGGGAGGACACCGGTTCGATTCCGGGTTTGTCTGCCTTGGTTCACGTTTTTCTATGCTTTCCTTGGATCACTTAGGCAAAAGCTTGGGCAGTAATAATATTCCACAGAGAATCATTTACTTCTCTTTTGTTTTCATTTCTTTCGTCTAATTTTTCTCACCTCAACCACTACCCATCCGTTTCCACGATACTTAAATAGAGACTGAAACCTCAAAATCCAAGTGTTTGTTTTAACTGAGACTGATAGTATAGAAGGAATCATGCGGTGATACAAAGCGTTAGACAGGGTAGTGTGGGCCTCCTGGAAGGGACCCGTGACAAAGCCGGCCAATTAGCTCGTTAGTTATCTTCACGTTTAGCGCAACTTATCGTGGTAAAATTTTTAACCAACGAAAGTGTTAAACCGGCCGAAATTTAGAATTGATTACGAGAACAATTTGGGAAAGAACATGTTCAAGGGCGAGAGCGAAAACCTAGTGTGTAGAATATAAGAAACGCCATCGAAATCTAAAGCCAAACGCGCTTATTATCGACTGTGAAGATGATATGACGTTAGGTTTCTAAATCTCTGAAGGAGTTTTGCCGCTTGACTTTCTCCATGATCGGCGTACAATAAACCATGCCTGTTACTGTGATTTTTTGAATTAGATTCGAACTGCATTCGGTCTAAACGATGCCATAGACTCATGCGAAACGTTGAACTTTTGGGCAACAACGCAGGATGGCATATTCCAGGTCAAACTACTCAGAAATTAAGTCAAAAGCTTTGAATTGTCCTTGAACACCTTTCCTACAGTGCCGCCCTTTTACAATACGACTTACACTTGTTTGGGCGTTTGATAAGGAACGCTTTCAGAAGAATGATTGACAGAAGATTAAGGATTTCGTGATTAATTGGGTGGAATCCGTTCTAATTTTAAGTATACGCAGTGAAAAACAGGAACTATTGCAGAAAAATGTTGCAAAATAATGTTTTAAAAGATAATGTATAATACATTGTTGCTTGTTCAATGTATTTTAATCATCATCGTATCTGGTTGAACGATTCCTAATATTGCAATTTACATACGTTTTCGGAAAATCCGCTGCAATTTTCAAACGATGCAACTCAACATATCGAAAAGCCTTATAGTCAAATTTTTTCAAAAAATCCAAAAAGCCACAAAAAGTTATTAATTTGCATATTGTTGCAGGGAATGTTTTCAGATTTGTCCAGTTACATGATAATAAACGAAGCGTCTATTCAGGAACTGAACACACGTCTAACGTCTCCCGTAACACATCGAAATTTTAGGCCAAATATCGTCGTCGAAGGAAAAGAATCTCCCGCATTCGCCGAAGACACCTGGATCTGGGTAAAAGTGGGTGACGTTGTCTTTAGACATGTAAAACATTGCACAAGATGCGTGTTTACAACCATAGATCCCTTAACTAGCGTTCGATCTCGAGAAAGGGAACCTCTCAAAACATTGGAAACGTAAGAATAATCTATTTAATTCTTTTTAGAAATACTGAAGTCGTTAATTTTTGACGAAACACTTTTATCTCAACATTAATTTTTATAAAACACACTTGAATAGTTCTACAGATTTATATATGGTTGTAGACGTTTCGTTTGAAACTACGCCGAACATTTTCAATTGAGACGGTGGTGGACGCTTCTCAACTACCGAGAAGAATACTACGAAACAACCACCACCGTCTCCATTGAAAATGTTTGGCGCAGTTTCGAATGAACCGCCTGGAAGAAATAAAAATTCCACTAGACCACGGCTCGTTAGCTCGGAAAATCTTCATCGTATAGTTTGTTTATGTTTGAAAGCCTGTAGGTGCGCGTATTTCTTCCTATGAAGGCATCTTCAGTAACTTAGCTACTTCTGAAGGTGTTCTCATGATAATAACACAGTGTTGTAAATAAATTGATAACACTGTCATGAACGAATGCCGCAGGTGGCAATCTTTACCGGCGACACCTGCGATAATCGTTAGCTGAGGATTATCAATCATACATTGACACTCCACAGACTGCACGATAAAAGAAGAGTTAAGAAATACTCAGGAGTCCAAAATTAAAACCAAAATTTGCATTTGAAGTGTTTGTCAAAAAAATCCCTTTTTAATGGTTAATGGTAATTGACAAGTAAATGGATAGTTCAATGGTAATTTTAAAAATTACAAATGAACAATTTTTGAATTTTATTGCAATAATTTTTCTAATTTTGAAATAAATATATATATGCGTGTCTTTTCTCATAATTTTGTTATTATTAAACTGTACAAATATTTGTTGTTCAAAAGTATGTAGATAATTAATTAAATATCAGTGTAATATTAGGTTTAATGACNAAAACTGACAAAGGGTCGAAATCAGTAGGCTGTTTGTTGAAATGTGACGATTGCAAGAAGGTTTACGCCGGTCAAATTGGCAGATCTTTCAATCAAAGGATTCTTGAACAACCCCACTGACTACTGATGTCTATCTTCCACTCACGCATTTATTATTAGCGCCTTGCAGAAGATCAGCCAGCAAACATTCCTTTTAAATAATTGAAATATAAATTCATTTAATAGAAACGAAAACAATTTCTTTGATGCAAATGATTAAATACAGTTTATTAAATATGTATAAAATATTAGCTTCTAAAAAAACATATTTTTTAATAGCTTTTTGTAGCATAGAAAATAGCGATTTTCATGTAGATTCCGAATTTCTAAAATTCATAACTCGGAAAATATTAACTTTACAAAAAGAAACTTTAGACCTTTTTATCGAGATTAAACTAGAGAATATAAAAAAAATATTCCGGCCAAATTTTGGCATATCTTAGTATTCAGGAGAATCTTCTGCTGGGTAAAAAAAATTTAATCCGAATCAGTTTTTCCACTCACTCGGCCCATATTGCCTGCACTTAACCTACAATTCTTGGCTGTCACTTACATTTTAAAAGTGCATTAATATTAATAATTATCAAACTAATATTTTACAGATATCGTCAGCTTGGAGAGCATTTGAATGTGCACAATTTTGAATCGAAATCAGTTGTTATGGGCGTAAATTTGGAACTGAAAAAGGCTGGCGTCATTCATGTTGGTGATACAGTTTTTATCCCAGAATGATTTTGGTGTGTGGCGAGTATGAGAAATAATCATTAGCAGATAACTATACGTACTGTGCTCTTTGTTTAGTTCTACTCTATTATATTATTTAATCAGCAATTTAATAAAATATACAATATTAAATTGTTTAATTTGTTTTACTTATTATAGTGTTCAAGTAAAGCTGTTTATATTTTAAGAAGTTCTGATAGTTTTTACTAATCGTGAGTTTATAATGATGTTAATTTATAATTTTAATAAAAAAATATTTTAGTTTCCAAGTATATAGGTGTTAGATATTGCAAGGTGACCGATATATATTTTAACAGATATATATTACGAATTTATAAAACAAAAGCATTTCATTATTAACTACTAATACAATTTCCAGCTCCTTTTTATAGCTACGATTTCATTGACCCGAAGATGAACAACTAAGCATTACTTCAAATCACTGTAATCTATAGTTAGGACGTTAAAAATTGGCATAGTCCGTAATAAATTATTTATGAGAATAGACATATCTTCTTTTTTGTTTCCTCTTGGGACTGCAGCGTTTTAAACACGCCCTTATTAAGTTAAAGAGAACTAGATAATAGTAAGGGTCTGCTTTATAACTGCCTGGTAGGAATTATATATTTAAACAGGTGTCTTTGCATTCCTTAATTCCTGATATTGTTGAACTCTCTTTAAAGTCCGATGCTGACAATATGCTTAAATTCTGGTTGCCTGCATCTCTTTCCGTTACACATCAATTGGTGTAATATTATTTCTCTTTCTTGATTAGTGTCCGCTGCAATTCCTAGCTAACATCTCTGTTCTATATTTATGATATTCCCTACAACGTTTGTCATGAATAAAAGTAAGCGTTTTGTCAGCAACCACTCATAACGAGCGGCATGGCCTAGAGGTCTTGGACCATTGCTTAGCATTCGGGAGGACGCCGGTTTGATTCCGGGTCCGTCTGCCTTGATCCAAGTTTTTCTGTGGTTTCCTTGGATCACATAGGCAAATGCTGAGGCAGTAATATTCCACAGATAATCTTTCATTCTCTTCTCTCTTCATTTCGTCCATCTCATCTTTCTCATCCAAACTACCACCCATCCATTCCCACGATTCCTGAAAGCAGGCTGAAGAGGGCCTTCCGCCCTACCTTCTGGCATAGCCCGGAGGGACTGCCCGCCCACCAGCATTACTGGCTGGTGGGAACGAAACACCCAAAAGTTTTTTTTTCAGCAACCACTCTAGTCTAGTTGAAAGAAAAAAGTGAATGCGACAGTTTCATTGCGGATTATTTCAATTTTGAACGTCCAAACTATACCCACTAATCCCTCAGAAAAACAACACACTTTCAATGGTTAGCACCCAAAAATGGCGCTTACCCGATTGTTTGGCTTCACTTTCTGCGACAGTCCGGTATGAGTGTTGCGAGCCTCTCTCTTTTGTGGCCTAGGTCAATTTCTCAAGCATTAACTCACGATATTATGATGATAATCATAGTGCAAAAAGTTATGAATAACTTAAAAAAGTCCTTAAGAACCAAATATATAAGGCAGTTATGAAATGTCTTATTTAAATACCTAGTTGGGAATAACTAAAAAGGCGTTCATGCGTGAAGGGTTCGCACCCGCAAACGGTTTTCTGTTTGTTATTTATATAGCAATGTGATTGAAATCTTGGGCAATTTTGAAGTCTTCACCTAACCCTATGGCATGAGCCGCCACAGCAGTTTCAAAATTTTTAAATAATAAACACTTACGTTCTTTCATAGAAATTGACCCCTCCAGTTTCTTTTAGATAAAATAAATTATATGGTTATTGCACATCATTATTTTGATTACTTACTACTTATCTCCTAGATAACATTGACCTACAAATAATCCATATGAATGGTAAAGAAACTGGAGTGAAGGAGGTAATAAAATTTTTCATATAGAAAATAGGAAATAATACTACAATTTCGGTGTCATAGTTATATCACTTCAGTATTATCAATGGTTGCGCTATGCATATATACGATAAATTAAACATAAATTCTCTTGCTCGTTATATCCAACAGTCAAAGTTAATATGTTTATTATCAGCTATTCAGCTCAACAAGCGTCATAGTATTTCAATTTGTTGACCAAACGAGAAGGTATCTGAAAGAGTAGCGATTTAATGTGCACGAAAATGAGTGTGACATTGTTATTTATGATTTTAATCTTTAAATTTGTGGATGGAGTTCAAGGTAGGTAATAATAAATAATATTTTTGTATTTTCAAAACGGAATTCGATTTTGTTCTTCAATTTTTCTACTCTACGTTACTGTCGTTCGGATAAAAAAAATGTTATTTAGGTTTTTCATCTCCCATAACGTGGCGGTTTAGATTTTTTATTTAAAAAATGCCTGATTACAAAAACTTACTGGCTTTGTCGGGTTCTAAAAATTCTATGATTATATTTTTAACGAACCTGCCTTCAACTATTTTGAAGTCAGTGTAATTAGAGAATTTTAACATTAAATTACGAAACAAATGTCGTTGGAAATTCACTTTACCTCAAAACTACTTTTTTCATTTTTAATTCTACATGCTAGTTGATCAAATAACTCCCGGATGTATATTGCAGGTATTGTCCTTTTACACACTTTGTATTTCCGGGCGTCGTCAAAATTTGACCTGAAATGGTTCAATTCGTGCAGAGAAAATAACAGTTCCCGTTTCGGGCGTTTGGTAGATTGCAATTTAATACACTACGGGTGGTACACGGTTTTTAGACTAGACATGCATTGTTCCTCAAATTTGGCTTTATCTATTATGGTCCTACCTTTTTATGAACTGTACATACTGTCTTAATTGTTAGTGATTGAAGCAGTTTTACCTGCGACGTTTGTATGGAAATGACAGGCATTTTTGATGGAAAAACAGAATTGGCATAAAATGTGAAAGGTTTTACTAGACGTTAAAAAACCACCCCTGCTAAATATGTTTTTAATATTCTGTTTCTTGTTTTGAATTTACAAAAATCGTTCTATCTCTTAATTGTACCCCAATTAATTGTTAATTTTTAATAATGATACAGAAGAATAAGTGGAATAGCAATGAAATTCATGTTAAATGGTTCTCCGTTTTGTTTATCATTAATATCAACTATTTATCGTTTCTTTACCATTTTTTAATGTTACAAAAAAATGTAAATTATTTTTAAAGTATTGAGTTATATTAGAACCACTGAGATTAGATAAATCTTTTTCAAAAAATTTCAAAATTTAATATTTTTCAGTCTTTTTGTTAAAAAAAAACGACGACCGAATGTTGTCTTTTCAGATCATATTGCTGTCAATACGCTTCGATCGGCACCTCAAAGAATTTCCACTTTCAAATTTTGAAATGTGTTGAAAACTATTATTTTTATGATCTGACCCTTTACCATAACTTCCTTATAGGCTAGGAATTTGATAAGTGAAAACCTTATCTATACAATTTTGACAGGAATAGAACTTTTATTAAGGTGGCGATTATTTTCCAATTAATAAGAGTAATACTAAGGGGCAAAAGATTAGTATACTTAGATTTGCAGATGATATAGCAGTATAGAGATAGTTTTAAATAAAATGCAAGGGAAGAAAAAGTAGGGAAAGAGCGAATGTAAAGATGAGAAGAATAAAGAAGTGGCTGATTTTAGGTAGGAAGTATTAGAAAGAATAGAACTCCATGGAAATCAATAAAGAAACAGGCGAGATAGTTTGGTAGGATACCTTCTTAGGCAGAGACATATTGGAGGCAGAAATAGGGATTAAGAGGAGTAGAGGTGGACCTAGATTAGATTACTTTTCGCAAATGGTTAAGGATATGGGATGTTCTAGTTTTAAGGAAATGCGGAATTACCTCAGAATAGGAAAGAGTGGAGGTGTGTCCAATCAGTCTTAGGACTAACGACCTTATGATAATGATGAATAAGAGTAATGACGATGATGCCGATTGATGAGAATTTCATCTACTATTGTTTTGCTGTGAACAGGCTTAAGGCCCGAAACGGGAACATTTCCGTTAATGTACGAATTGCAACCGCCGAAAAAGGAATTAATCATATAATCATATTTGACAATCGTGGGGGACGTATATAGTTACGGGATAACCAGGGTGGGCCAAGGCACATACATTGAAAGTTCTGCACTAAATGCTGACCCACCCTGAATATTTACTCAACCCGATGTAATACAGTCGAACCTGGATAAGTGAGAACTGGGTAAGCGAGGAAACTCTATTAATGAGAGTATCTGCCAGGTCCCGTCATTTTGCCTTTCTAAAGCCTCTATAAGTGAGAAACATAAAACCTGTATAACTGACAGTCATTTTTCATGCGTGAACCTCTTAAAGTGAGATTGCTACTTGTCTATACCTCTATAAGCGACAGTTTACTTTTGCTATTTTATGACTCGTTCTTAAATTTCAAGAGACTCTTATTTCATTCGAATGACCAAATCTGCGAATGACCGAGTAAGTCTTTATTATTTTATTATAGCCAAATGTGTGTACCGACTTGTTTAACAATCTTATTACAGTCAGTTCATAAAAGCAGTTGCGAAGAAAGGTCCTGTACTTCCTCATAATGTCTAAACGAAAACTCAATGTGTTGTCGAACCGTATTTTTATAGACCTCTATAACTGAGACAAATTCCTCCTGTAAGCTAGAAACTCGGGTTAGTGAGAAACCTCTATGAGAGAAACAGATCGCGGTCCCTTGAGCTCTCACTTATCCAGGTTCGACTGTATAAAATTTGAAACGGAAAGCATTCAGATTCATATAACTCAAGATGCTTTGCTTAATGTAAAATTATCTGTCGTTTTTAGGATCACGATCGTCTGCTTTTAATTTCCATGAAGAGGATGCTGAAAAACAACAAAAAGCAACCGAAGAGCTCGTTAAAAGGATTCTCCCCGATTACTTTTTGTACTTTAAAGTGTCCGTGGTGTCAAATTTTAGCCAGGACTCTTTTCAAGTAAAGCATTATTATTGAGAGCATCTAATCAAAATAAGTAAACCCCTTCGGAATTTGTAGATTTTTAGTTCGGGAAATGGAACGGTATTTATTACAGGGAGGTCCGGAGTGGATGTAGCGAGCGGGCTTAATTATTACTTGAAATATTACTGCTACTGCCAAATTTCGTGGCAAAATAAACAGTTAAACCTGCCGAAGCAGTTACCAGCGGTTAATGTCACAATTAGCTATAACGATAGGTCAGTACCCTTTTTTTTATTTTTTGAAGGTTTTGTACATTTATCACAAAAGTCATCATTTAATCGCTAACACAATCTTGAATTGCATTATGCCAATCAGGAAACTATCCCTTAATTACCTTCTCTTACCGTAACATAACCTAAACCGATAGTCCATAGTATTTCGCTCATATCTGCAAGGGGAAACCTTTCTCATTATAAACTAACTTTTTGGGTACTGCTCAAACCCTGGTTCATAGCACTTCACACGAGCTGATCATCAAATCTTCCACCATAACCTAACTTAAGCCTATAGGACAGAGCATTTCACACATGTCAATATGGGAAATATTTCAACCATAATTTAACCTAAATCTTTGGCGCATGGCAATTTGGGCAAGCCAATAAATAAATCTTTTAATATAACATAAGCCTAAAGTTCACATGATTTCAGACATGTGAATCAGGGTTTCTCCATTCCTAACCTAACCTAATCTACTGATTTCGTTGATAGATTTTAAGTTTCAGTTATTACCGCATCCTGTGATTTTATGATAACTAAATATAGACATGTTAACGCACAAATATGCCAAATACACCAAAAGAATGGCGACTGTTAATCAAAAATTTCCAATAAACTACGGCATTCTGGTTATCAAAAGTAGATTTGAGGCACAGTGTTTTATCCCTTAATTGGAAATCTTAAAAAATGACGTTCTTTATGCTACAATCATATATACATATACGTAGAACATTATTTATTAGATAAACTAAATAGGTAGTGATTTAAAATGAAATGTTACACTTTTAATTTCTAAAATTAATACATTCTTTGATAACAAAAAAAACATCCTTCAAGTCTGATAGTCCTTCTTATTGTAATTTACAACAATATATGGTATTCAGAAGGGCGGGGGTACTATCAGATTACCGCAAGAACTATGGGGTTTAATGATAAAATACTTTAATATAATTAAGTCTGCGTTTACTTCTGATATAGTAGTTTAGTAAGCAAAAGCTATTGATAAAGTTTTACGATCTTTTGGAGCATTGTCGAAAAAACATTAAGTTTCAATTTCATTCATTTTTTTCTTAAAACGTCTAATAGGCTATCAAACTTCGACGATAACTCATTGTATGCATGTTGTAAGTAAAAAAAAAATGATGAGAGAAAAAACACTAACTTTTCAATACCTTAAATATTTTACAGCAAACTATTTCAAAATATGGTTCATCTGTTCATCTTATGAGGTAATAAAAATTGTGCACGAAAAACTATTTTATTAGAAACAGTTTTTATTTGTACCAAAATACAATATTTCTTCAAAAATTCATTCCTTCAGATTGGTTAATTTTTTTTTTCGTTTTATTTGTTAATGATAATTTCTAAATAATTAATGCATTTGTTATGTTATTTTCATTGTAATTTTAGATTTCGATATTACCAAAACATATGTACAAGTAGCTACAGTTTTGTTTGGTGGAATTGGAGCCAGTGGGAAAAGCACATCGACTGGATGGCCCTCAACGGTTATAACTTAGTTCTTGCACCTAATGGTCAAGAATTTATCTGGAATTTAATTTATAAAGAGATCGGTATGACGCAGCAAGAAATAGACGAGCACTTTACTGGACCTGCATTTTTAGCTTGGTAAAAAAAATCTTTACCTGTATACGAGGTCTGTTCAAAAAGTATCGCAAATTTTGTGTATTTTCAAAATTTCTGTTTTGTCCTCTTCAAAGTAATCCTCACCAGATATTAAACACTTGTGTCAACGTTTCTTCCAATCCTTGAAGCACTTCAAAAAATCATTTTTTGCGATCTTGTTCAGCTCCTCCTTCGATGCCGTCCTTATCTCCTCAATTTTCATCAGTTTCGGGAACAAGAAAGTCACAGGGGGGCAGATCTGGGGAATACGGTGGTTGCGGCATTATTAGTGTGTTGCTTGTGACCGAAAATTTGCGCACAAACAACGACGTGTGAGCAGGGGCGTTATCCTGGTGCAAAAGCCAATTTTTGTTTTTCCACAGATCCGGGCGTTTCTGGCGGATATTTGGCGCGCTTTTTTCGGTCTTGGCTCGTGCGACAGCTTCCTTTGGAATGATTGAGTTTTGGTTTCCACGTCATAACCATAAACCCATGATTTGTCACCAGTTATGACCCTCTGGAGCAAATTTGGGTCGTCGCGGAGAGAGTCCAACAGCTCCTTGGCAATGTTAATGCGATGTTGTTTTTGGTCGAAATTGAGCAATTTTGGTACGAATTTCGCGGCGACCCGCCTCATGTCCAAATCATTGGCAAAAATCGAATGGCATGAGCCAATCAATATGCTCAAGTCCTCAGGAACTTCCCTAACGGTGATTCGACTATTGGTCAATACTATTTTCTTCACTTCATCAATGTTTTCGTCTGTTGTTGACGTGCTCGGGCGTCCGGCAAGCTCTTCGTCGTTCACATCTTCTCGGCTCTCTGAGAACATTTTGTACCACCGATAAACGTTGCTTCTGTCCAAGGTTGCTTAACCATATGTCACAGTCAACATTCGGAATGCGTCCGCGCATTTCATTTTGTTTTTCACACAAAATTTGATACAGATTCTTTGATCCATTTTTCGGAATAAGCAAAAATCGAAGACGAGCCAAAACACGTGCAAGCAAAGCAGCTGTCAAAAATTAACTGAACATTGGACATGACCGAACTTGTCAGTATAAGTGAAAGACATGAGTTACCAACACAACGCCACAAAAAAATCGAAAATCGAATACGCGTAATCTGTGGAAAATAAAAATTTGCGATACTTTTTTAACAGACCTCGTATATTCACGCTGAAAATATTGTGATAAAAATTGCACGTTCCTAATCTTATTTTCTTAACTATCTCAGCTATGATTTTGAAAAAAGCGATCAAATAAATTACATATCAATGTAATTCAAATACTTAAAACTAGAGACGGGTTAGGTACAAGAATTAAAATTTAATTGGTTTAGTGTTTAAACGACTTTTTGTACGGGGTTAAATGTGGTTTGGAATGTTGATGAGGGTGACATTCAATGGAAATCCCGCTGGAACAAAGACATGAACTATTAACCGTAGTGCTTTGCTGTTTTACTACAGAAACGGTAAAAATGCTGTTCAAGCCAGAAAGAAATTGACTGATGTGTATGGAGAAGGTGTGTTGACAGTACACCAGTGCCAGAAACTGATTCGCTAAATTTCGATCCGGCAATTTTGATGTCGAAGATGCACCACGTTCGGGAAGGCCGGTTGAAGCTGATAAAGACGCGATAAAGGCATTAGTTGATGGGAACCGGCGAATAACAACACGTGAGATCGGATTGAGGTTAAATTTATCAAATTCAACAGTTTATGACCACTTGAAAGGCCCGGGATTATCCTCGAAGCTCGATGTATGGGTTCCCTATGTTCTCACAGAGAGAAATCTGTGTCGCCGCATTGACGTCTGCGATTCGCTTCTCAAACGGCACGAAAATGATCTGTTTTTGAAGCGTATCATCACTGGGGACGAAAAATGGGTTGTATACAACAACGTCAAACGCAAGAGGTCATGGAGCAAAAAAGATGAACCGCCTCAAAACCATTTCCAAAGCCGATATTCACCAAAAAAAGGTGATGCTGTCTGTTTGGTGGGATTTTAAAGGAATCGTTTTTTTTTAGCTTTTACCGGATAAAACAACGATTAATTCGGAAGTCTACTGTCATCAGCTGGACAAACTGAATGATGCACTTCAACAGAAAAGGTCAGAACTAATCAACAGGAAAGGTGTAGTGTTTCACCAAGACAACGCGAGACCTCACACAAGTTTGGTCACTCGCCAAAAGCTTTTACAGCTTGAATGGGATACAATGCTACACCCACCATATTCTCCAGACCTGGCACCATCGGATTATTATTGGTTCCGGTCACTACAAAATTTTTTAGACGGTAAAACCTTCACCTCAAATGAGAAGGTCAAAAACCTCCTCGATCAGTTTTTTGCCAGCAAAGACCAAAAATTTTATGAGCGTGGAATTATGCTACTACCAGAAAGATGGCAAAAGGAGTTGGACCAGAACGGTCAACATATAATTTAATAGTATTAAGTATTTGTTTATTATACGAAAACTTTCTCTTTCATTTCCACAAAAAAAAACGAAATGATTTTCCGAACAACTCTATAGTTATCTGGTAACCGATAAAATCACTATTCCGTACTTCTCTACATAAAACATTACACTATGTACATTATGAGGCCAGTGTAAACATTCACGATCTGATGCACAATTTATTTTTGGAAGCAGCTTTTCATAAAAAAAATGCAAAATGAGTAATTTTACAATCTTTTCTAGAAATACAAGATTGCAATCGGAGTCCCCATGAGTCTGGGGGCTTATGCAGAGTGCATCGTTTGCCTTATCTTAGAAGCGCCTGCGCTTATTGCCCTAAAAGGACCTGAAATTATAAATCATTTCTTTCGATTTCCTTAAGATACATTTTCGTCAAAACGCATATTTTGGGGGTCTAAATTTGAAAATTATTTGTAAAGGACCCTAAATTATGAATCATTTTTATGATTTCGCAAAAACACATTCTGTTTGAATCATCTTACGGGAAAAATGCCGTATGTGTTACACACGTGTTTTTCTGTTGATAACACATGATAAGTACATGTATATTTATTATATCGATGTACATAAATCTTTTATTTTGTAGGAATAGAATGGGCAATTTGCGTAAATGGGGAGGTCCATTGTCAGAATTTTGGCACAACAGGTCTTTTACTTTGCAAACAAATACGCTTTCGCGTATGAGGAGTTTAGGAATCGTACCAGTCCTTCCGGGGTTTGCAGGACATGTTCCAAGAGCATTTAAAAGGTTAAAGAGGCAACATAATTTGCATGGGGTGACTTTAATATTGAATGAACGTTATAGTGAGTTAGGTACATCACTGGAAACGTCATACTAATTTCGGTTACATTTTCTTTTCTAAAGTTAATTATTATACGAATATGAAATGTTTACATTAATGTGAACAACATCCCAAAATTGATTTTTTGCAGATTATTTCCAACAGCTAATTTGACGAAAATGGAGGAATGGAGTAACTTTAATGACTCGTATAGCAGCCCTTATTTATTGGATGCCAATGATGGTTTGTTTGAAACAATTGGAGAAAAGTACTATAAAAACGTAAGAAGAATGAAGAATTTTTGTAAAGTTTGACGCACAAATATATACTTTTTGCTGTTTTAGCTTAACAAATTTTACGGCGTTGTCCAAAATAATAATAAAACCAAAAATACTATGTACAGTGCGGACGTATTTAACGAAATGTCTCCAGTATCAACCGATGAATCGTACATAAGTAGTGTCGGCAGTGGCGTTTACAAAACGATGGTAAAGAATGACCCAGGGGCTATTTGGTAAAAATGAGACACTTTTATTTATCTATAAACAAGTTAAAACCAATAAAAGAGGAAATACATTAATACAATTGGATCGGAATAAAAACTTCTGTATTTTGAATCATCATATAAAACTGTAATGTTCGTGGGTTTAACAAAATTAACTTCTAATCGTAAGACTGATAACGACAAAAACTATTTATTTACACTAATTATTAAAGAACTTAAAAACACTATTAAATTAAAACTTAGGTGATGAATTATTCTATTTATTTACACTACTGTTGATATATCACTATTCACTGCGCTATTTATTTCACTGCTATCACTGTCAATTTATTTCCCGATTCACTTCTGCAACGGTCAATTTATTTCTACTACTCTCGGCGATTGTCTCTTCCTTTAAATAATATTTTGTTTCTTTCGGGAACCTTCTCGAAACGTCCGGAAAAGTTTCTTTTTCTTTGAACTGTTTAACTGCTTTCCCAGAACGCAGGTACGACACACACATTTACAAATACGGCGCACATGAAGAAAGGCGCCCGCGGCTAGTCGGCGAATCGATAAGCCGTTCACGCACACGTGTGCCCGATCGCACACAAACACACTCGTTCTCGCTACACTACATTACGGTAAATTATATTACATTTAACTATATGCACATGTAATATCATAGATAAATTAACTCTATTATCCATTCTTCCCCTGATTTTAAGGCGGTATAAAATCAATGCCAAACCAGAGATTTAAAATATTTTATAATTTAAAAAACAACAGTCGATGTTTCGCCAAAGTTGTAGGTTTTTATCAAGGCTAGTTTTTAAGTGAAAAAAGAAGTGAGAGTCCATCTGCTTTAATTCTTTTTTAACGTAAAATATTAGCATTCAAAAAACCCAACATCATGGATGAAACGTCGGCTGTTGTTTTTTGAATGATAAAAAACTTTACATCCCTAGTTTGGTTTTGATTTTACACATCACAGATTAACATTAAAAGATTACCTAATTTTATATTTAATTTCAGGCTAATGCAGGGATGGCTTTTTGTATATGATCCGTTTTGGACTAAAGAAAGAGCAAAAGCACTGGTGACATCGGTGCCTTTTGTAGGTTTTATTTATAAACACATTTTAAGTTAATTTACTATTTATGCAGTCAGGATTAGGATGAACTTTATTTTCGTTTCTATTTAATACTTAATGTTTGAGATTTGAGAACGAGAATTTACGCTGGTTTAAGTTTCAAAGGATTTTAATCTATTCAAAATTTTATTTAAATGTGTGTAATTCTTTTAGGGAAAAATGATTATTCTCGATCTTCAATCCGAGCAATTTCCGCAGTATGACCGATTTGATTCATATTTCGGTCAACCATTTATATGGTGTATGCTCCACAATTTTGGAGGAACTCTAGGCATGTATGGTTCAGCTCATATCATAAACAAGGTTCATAGATATTTCTAATATTAGATTTAAATAACAGTGTCTTTTCCATTTAAATTATCAAGATCAGAGATTTGAAAAATTGTTGTTACGATGTATTTGAAGTTTTACTCTAAGGGATAGAAAAAATTACTTTTCATTTTGGTAAAGAAGGACAGTATCATTCTACGTAAAGTGTATGTTTAATCTAGAAAATTAGAAACTTTAGTTTTATCCTGTTGATTCTGGTTAGGACTATTTATCAAATTAATTGTATTTTCATTGATCCTTGACACGTATTGAGGACATTAACACAAACGATGCCGTGGGTAAAAGCTTGTAAAAAGCTTCACTCTTTCTTATCCTGAGCTAATCCACGCATTTCCCTAAAACTAGAACACCCCATATTCTTAACTATTTGCGAACAGTAATTTAATCTAAGTCTACCTCTACTCCTCTTAACTCCTGTTTCTGCCTCTAATATGTCTCTGACTAGACCTTCATGCCTGAGAAGATATCCTACCAGCCAATCTCGCCTATTTCTTATTGACTTCCATAGAGCCCTCGGTTCTCCTATTCTTTCTAAAACCTTCTCTATCTTCATCATTCGAAGGGTTCCAACCTTTTCTTTATATTTACAAATTTACACCTTTAATAATCTTTTTCGAATTTCTAAATTAATCGTTCGCGGGCATAGAATTTACTTTTTTTTTATTGAAGGCGACTCGACCTTACGCTATCCTCTGCTTTATATGCCTACTACTCCTTCCATCCTGACTTATCTGACTTCCTAGATATCTAAAATCAGCGACTTCTTCTAATCTTTCGAATCCTATCTTTACATTCGCTCTTTTTCTACTTTTTCTTCCCTTGCATACCAGTATTTTTGTTCTACATTTATTTATTTTCATATAATACTGTTTTGTCAATACCGCTTCCATTTTATTTAAAGTTGTCTCTATGTCCTTCTTGCTAGATGCTAATCTGCTGTATCATCTGCAAATCTAAGCATACTAATCTTTTGCCCTTGCACATCTATCCCTACAGTTGTACTGTCTCTAATGATGTTGATCGCGTCTTCAATGTATAGATTAAAAAGTAGCGGAGACAGTGTGCATCCATGTCTGACTCTCTTCCTAATATTTACTTCTCTACATTGCTGCACCAGCTACATATAACTGCCTGTTGCTCTTTACAGATGATTAAATAAATTTTAGGAACCGATTCGGGCAAGAAACGAAACAACAATGATAGGAGTTGGAATAACAGCAGAAGGTATTAATCAAAATTATGTAATTTATGACCTCATGAGTGAAATGTCTTGGAGAGATGAGCCAGTCGATTTGACAGAATGGTTCGATAATTATTCACGAAGGCGATACGGTCAAATAAATATGTCAGCAAATCAAACGTGGCAAATTTTAAAGGTTTTTATAAAGTAATTTCATAAGATGAGTCTTTCACCTATCTTTTTCCATTTTAGAGTACTTTGTACAATTTTACGGGAACAGAACGTTTAAGAGGGAAATACAGCATTAACAGTCGTCCATCATTGCATTTGAAAGATTGGGTAAGTTATCGTTGCAGGAGGGAGGGGCTAATTATTAATTTAATTATGTTTATTTTTGTATATAAACTAGACCTAAATATTATCGAACTGTAACTATAACCCACATGAGTGTGTCTGTTTTCAATTAGAATTAACATCATCATCATCATAAGGTCGTCAGTCCTAAGACTGGTTGGACATGCACCTCCACTCTTTCCTAACCTGAGCGAATCTTCGCATTTCCCTAAAACTAGAACAGCCCACATCCTTAACTGTAATCTAATGTAGGTCTACCTCTACCCCTCCTAACTCCTATTTTTGCCTCTAATATGTCTGTGACTGGACCTTCATGCCTGAGAAGGTGTCCTACCAACCTATTTCGCCTTTTTCTCATTGACTTCCGTAGAGTCCTCTGTTCTCCTGTTATTTATAATATCTCTTCATTTCTAATCTTCCACGGTATCCTTATCATTCGCCTATAACACCACATTTCGAACGCTTCTAACCCTTTCTTTTCCGCCGCGCCCACTGTCCATGTTTCGCACCCGTACAACGCCGTGCTCCAAACATACACCTTTAACAACCTTTTTCGAATTTCAAAATAAACCGTTCGCGAGCATAGAAGTGACTTCTTTTTATTAAAGCCGACACGACCCTGCGCTATCCTCTGCTTTATATCCCTACTACTCCTTCCATCCTGACTTATCTGACTTCCTAGGTATCTAAAATCAGCCACTTCTTCTAATTTTTCGTCTGCTATCTTTATATTCGCTCTCTCCCTACTTTTTCTTCTCTTGCATACCAGTATTTTTGTTTTAGCATTATTTATTTTTATACAATACTGATCTGTCAGCACCGCTTCCATTTTATTTAAAGCTATCTCTAAGTCCTCCTTGCTAGATGCTAATACTGCTATATCATCTGCAATTCTAAGCATACTAATCTTTTGCCCTTGCACATCTATCCCTACAGTTGTACTGTACTTAGAATTAACAATTTTTTTTATTCACAGTCTGGTCAAAATATCTCTAATTTCCGATTGTTCAAAAAAACACGCTTGTTCGGTTTGAATCCTTAACTTAAACCATATCCCTTACAAAATTGCCTTTCCTTGCTGACACTACCCTCTACATATTTCTAAAAATAAATTTTACGACTTATAGTACCATTCTCATCTTTAAGCAGATCCTTCACTATCATTTGTTTCTATTATGGTGTTATCACTTCTTATTCAGGGTATCTTTTAATTTGTGGGGGGGGGGGGTTAAGCTCCTTTTGGTACGCGCCTTTGTCATGCTGAATTGTGTACCTACAGGCATAATAAATGTTTTCATATGTTGGGTGAAATATCCGAAAACTGCCTTTGATTGGACTGGACGTTTTAAAAGTCAGGCTTTGGACTACAGCATACAAGAAAATTATTTAGTATGTAATGTAATCTACCCCATCTCTAACCTAACCTAACCTAATCTAACACAGTAAAAAGATTGTTGAGGAGTTATGAGATTTCGGTTAAAATAAGAGATTTGCTGTTGAAAGGGTATTTTTTTTGGGACACTTTTTCCGGGGGAATTTTATCCAGAAGATACGGAGGCACGTATAATTTGCTGTTTCTTTTCGGTCCCGATTTTATTAGGCTATGAGACTCTGTCACAAGTAGGGAGTGGACCTTGTTCATATGTGACGTCTTTATTATCAGGATGTAAACAACAAGTCTAGCCGTTTTTTTTTATGTATGAGGTTGCAATGAGCAACACGAGGTGCTTATTAAATTCATAATTCTCACCCTTTATGCGAAAAACGCCCGCTTCCTGGTCATAAGTAACAAACTGAATTACATTTTTTGACTTTTCGTAGATGTGGTATGAGAATAGTGACTTGTTCCATGCCTTCGAAACATTTTTGGATGCTTCAGATAGTCTTGCAGATTCAGAAACGTACAAACACGATATCGTTGATTTAACCCGTCAAGTACTTCAAATTTTGGGAGACGAATACCATAAAAAAATTGTTAAGGCATACAAAAGTCGGTATTTGATAGAGTTGAAGTAAGTATCTAACTAATACGTTATACATATACCAATGTTTTTATCGGAGGTATTAACATACAAAGGTGATATTATTGATATTATCATCATCATCAAAGTCGTCAGTCCTAAGGCTACCTGAACACGCACTTCCACTCTTTCCTATCCTGAGCTAATCTTCGCATTTCCCTAAAACTAGGGCATCCTATACCCTTAGTTAAATGTGAATAGTAATTTATTTTAGGTCTACCTACCTCTATACCTCTATACCATGCTACAAACATGCACCTAAAATAACCATTTGCCAGCATAGATGTGATTTCTTTTTGTTAAAGATGACTCGACCTTGCGCTATCTTTTGCTTTATATCTCTGTTGTTCTGTCTATCTTAAATTATTTGACTTACTAGGTACCTAAAATTATTGACTTCTTCTAATTTTTCGTTTCCTAGCTTTATATTTGCTTGTATTGTTTTACTTTTACTTATTTTCATGCCACATTGTTTTATTGATAGTACTTCCATTTTATTTAAGGCTATCTCTAACCCCTCGTTCCTAGATGGTGTATCTCATCCCTGCATTTTTAAGTACATTTAACATCTACGAATCCTATGTATGCGCTCTTTTCCTTTTCTCTCATGTTCTATATTGTTCTATTTTAGATTTCTCCTAAATCGAAATTGGTCTTGCCCTAATAGTTCTTCCGCCCTTTCTCCCATCCTTTTCTGTACAATTCTAGTTACGATTTTTGACGCATAGGACGTTAATCCAATAATAATACTTAATACCAATACAGGTTGAACAATGACTTTTTCGCAGATACTTAAAACAAGACATCTTGGATTTATTTACTGATTTGGATCTAATACTTGCTTCTAATGAAAATTTTCTTCTGGGAAAATGGTTAAAGGATGCAAAGAACGTTGCGGACAACCCAAGTGTAGGTGTGCATACATTTGTAACTAAAAAACATACACTACCTACTTAAGCGAAACAAAATTCGATTTTTGACATGACGTAAATGATAAAAATTATTCATAGTCCCTAAAATTATGGATTTTTTTAAAATGATTTGTATTGACACAATATGTTTTTGGGCTGCTATTATTTTTATTTGTATCAAAAACGTGTTAATCATTTGAAAAAAGGCATGAACATTTTAATTGGCTAAATTATTGTAAAATTGCAAACCACCACTTTAACTTCAAATAAAAAACATTGTAAATAAAAATAAATAACGCACATGAATTTAATGCAAGGGTTTTTGACCTGAGATATTTCGAACTTTTAATTTCCAATGGAATTTGAAAATTTCGGTCCTGTAGAAAAAACCGCCGAGAAATTATATTAGTTTGATGCTTAACACTAGAACTCCCGAAGGTTGACATCCCCCGTAAACCGCTGGTGGGACAACTTTGACCCACTTTAATTATTGCAAAAATCATTCATTATATTCAACACGTTCTCATAAAAATATGCGAAAAAAAAATTCAATATTTTAATATTATGATTAATGATTTTAAATAGTATCCTTTATTATTATTTTTCTAATAAATTTTTCTAATAAATTTTTCTAATAAATTTTTCTGTAAGTTATAAAGTCCTAATCTATGCATTAAGTGTAGGAAATTTGCTAGTAATTTTGAAGTGGTTTCTTTTGGAGAATAGCGAGAGCGATTAAGTATAATACATTAAATTAATTTTAAATTTTCAATGTTGTAAGTGTACTTTTTTTATGTTCAAATTTCGTGTTTGTTAGAAAAAGTAAAAAAAAGACTGAATTTTTGAAAAAAAATTGATTTAATTAATTTTCAAAGTTCTTTTGTAATTGATTACCTTTTATTTGAACCTGAATTAAATTGACGTATTTGCGAAATTCAATGAAATATACAAGGTGATCCGAGAATTGTATATATACCTACATAGTTGGTAATATTCTGATTCTTTAAACAGGAAATTGCTCAGTTTGAATACAATGCCAGAAATCAGATAACATTATGGGGTCCAAACGGAGAAATAGTAGATTATGCAAATAAACAATGGGCAGGTAATATAAGTAAACGTATAAATATCTTGTTAAAACTACTTATACTCTTTTAAAACACCAAAGAACAACAGGGACAATGAACTTATTCTTATCTTCAGGTGTAGTGGCAGACTATTTTGAACCAAGATGGGAAATATATTTGAGTGCTCTGGAAAAAAGCTTATCAACAGGTGAAGCCTACAATGAAACTGAGACTTTTGAAAAAATGTTTTTCGAAGTAGAACAACCGTTTACCATTTCCACAAAAGAATATCCGTCTCAGGCTACAGGTAATTTATTCTTTTTTCTTACTTGTTTTATGTTTTAATCAATTAGTTAGAAAGCCGAGACAAATAAAACAAAAGAAACACATCAGTATTATAGGGGAAATAAATTAATCGAATTTAAATTTTCACACTTGCATCGCCTTAAACGCAACTAATGATGTGGTAGTTGCTAATGAATTATCACAATACATTTGTTATATGAAACTAATATACAGGGGGTTTTTGAAATAAGTAGCAAGCTTGCGGGAGTTGATAAGGCACTATAAAACAAGAAGTAAATGTTTGATGGTCCGAAAGTTAACCGTTTTGAGAAAGTACAGGCAAGGGCTAGTCCGGCCCTGGCAGAGTTATGCGGGTAAATACGACATTACAACGTCGCATTCAAATCAACTATTATATGCAGTCTATTTCAATTTGTTAGAATTGTGACCTTGAAGAAATCTGCGCGAAGAGAGAAAGAATACACACTGGGCGTGGCCAAGACAGAAATAGTTAGAACAAGCTTGAACGAGCAGAGCTCTCGATGGGCGGTCTTAGGAGATCGGCTAGAACTGTACAGTACTAGACGAAAATGTTTAGCAATTTAAATGTATATAAATTAACAATAGAAAACAAAGCAACAGTTTTATAGGTGTGTAGAATGTTAAGTTAATTCACTTGTTATTATATAAAGCATATTTTTAAATTTTAACGAGGCAGTATAAATAATTTTGCAAATGGTACTGTATACTTTTGTCTAGTTCTCGCTCGATGATCGGTGAAGAAATTAGCTCCGCGGACAAATATGATTGAATTTGGAATTATGCTACGGCGCATCCTAATAAAGGGAAGAGGCATATCTCTAACTTCTTGAAACGAATAGTACTTAGCAGCATCCGTGCTGTATTTCTTTTTTATTTTTGTAATTGTGTATCGTTTGTTATTTTTTAGATTAGATTAAGTGTGATTGGCGATGTTTATTTTTACAGCCAGCTTGCAGTTAGAGCAGTTCTTTGTTTTTTTAACGTTGTAGATTTGTATTACATTTGTATGTAGGCAGTCGAAGCCAATAGAAGTAGGTCAATGTGTCAGTGTTATAGGTTAGTGCAGGGTAATATTATTGCACTGACCAGTGCGTGAATTTTTATACGAACATTTTCCTAGATGCTGGATTGGACATATGGGTCCTGTATTATGGCTGGCACTGAGTCTTGATCAAAATATGTACTTTTGACTTCTTTGTATGGGGTTGTATAAAACCGCGTGTGTATCAAACGTTAGTGCAGAACGCTAATGATTTGTACGACCGTGTATGATCGCTGCAAATGAAGTATGCCAAGTGCCGGACGTTTCTGCGCGACTCAGAAATAATTTTTTTATTAGTCGTTCCACAATCGTCACTATTTACATTTTTCATCGATGTAGTTGTTTAGTTATTATCGCAATTTCTCTGTACCTTGCTCGTTCACGCTGAGGGCGGGCTTCGCATTGCAAACTCATCTGGTTTTCTTACAATTTTTTTGTCCCTTAACTACGCTGCTTTATTCGCCATGCGATTCCCTAATTCCATCTAGTAAATACCCCCCAACGTTTGCTACTTATTTCAAAATGCCCTGTATATTTTTTCTTTATTAGTGGAGTACAAATAATTTTTATTTAATATAGAAGTTGTTCTCTTATAACAATAGATTTTTGCGCGATTTAAGGTCGGATTTTTAAAGAACTGGTTTGCGCTCACCCCCAATTCTTGTGAGCCTCCAACGCCCATAAGGTGACGTTATCGCCCACTTCGAGAAACACTGATTTAGCTGATGATCTGTATAAATTCATGTCAGGAAACTGCACATCTTTTTAGTTTGAGTGTGTAATTAAGCTAATAAGTAAATTTATCCAGTTATTATTTACTTCTAGGTAATCCAGTCGACATAGCTCGATATATTCGTGATAAGTGGACATTGGACAGGATTCGGAAATTTAATATTGAACATGAGCCTGATTTGCGTGTTTCAGACAGTTTTATATCTAAACTACGAGATAATAATGACAACATAGAAGTCACAATGCTAACATAGTTATAAATAAGGATGTTGTGTTGTGTACTGCTTAACATAAATATAACCATAACTTAAAATAAAAGACTTAAATACCAACGCCATCTTTTTTCAACAGACAGAAGCCTTATAATTTTATAAGTAATCCGTAGGACGGCTAAAAAAATACATTAAGTTTATTTAATCGCATAATATTGTAGAGTTTCTCATGCCTATGGTACTAATTTCCATTTTGTGTAACAGCAGGTCTTGCATTATAATTTAATATAGGTACATAATATGTTCTAACTAATGAAGCAGATGTATCGACCGGATACACGCTCGGGTGGGAGGAGATGGATTGGGGATGGGGCTGAATAATTCATGTGTATACGATGGTATCGTTTTTCGTGGAGGAAGGGGGGTAACGTTTATCCACCATAATCAAGCCGTATGCGCCAAGGACACAGAGTAAGGTTATGGTGGGTAAGAGTTCTCCACCACCACAACCACCATTAGAAAAAGAGTAGATGTTAAGTTAGGGTGTTAAAATTCGCCCCCCCCCAACATAAAACCCTACAAAGTTCCTCCCATCGTCTTTATCGGTAATTCTCAAATTGCAGATCGCGAAATATACACATTTGGGGGGGAGGGCATCAAAATTAATTACAGGTCAATTATAACATATACATAAAATATTTTGCATAAAGATACCCCGAAGATAAATTATATTAATTTTTATTGGTACTATTAATCAAAAATACGAGCGTTTAAATGCAATTAAACAGAAGAAATTAATTCCTTCTGAATTTAAAGTGCTGGTTTGTGAAGCGGGATTCAGGTGGCTTTAACCCTCACTGGGGTGTTTAATTGAAGTTCAAAAAAGGGTCCGCAGATCAAAGACTTAAGCGAGAAACACTGGTCTGTAAAATAGTTCTACAAGGTCATTACTATCACCTTTCCGTCTCCAACTGATGGGCACATTGTTACACAATTACCATTTACCACATATCATACGCCATGACGTGTACTCCCCAAGTAAACACACTGATTAATTTATAATATAAGTAAAAAAGAAAAGTTATTATTCTAAGAAGCATGCAAATTTTATAATATCGAGCGTCTAATTATTTTTATCATTAGTTTTGTGTTATGCGTTTGAATATACATATTATATGGAAATTCTTATTAATCAAAATTAATTACCTAACTAAAAATTAATTTGTGGAATAAAATGCTTTAAGTATACGAAATACTGTACCTGTAGATTTCTTAGTAAGTCGAATTCTTAGTGATCATTTAATCAATATATTAGAATAACATTAACATTTGTTAAAAGTATTGAATACTTAAAAATGAAAAATATCAAAATACTCTATCAAATGGATCTGTCTACTGTCCAGGTCCTCCTTTAAAGGATTAAGTAATGAAAAATATCAAATCGTATACTTTAAGTAGACAAATGAATAGATTACGAAAATGAGAAAACATAGAGGGATATAATTTTTTAATTCAGACCATTAATTTCATTCCTAATTATTTTTGGCTTTGTTGTTTTGTATGTATCATACAAATAAGGACTTATTTACAAATCCTTTTGCAAACTTCTATGTGACATAAAACGCAAAAACACCGTAATTCAACATAAAAAAAAGCCCTCAGAGGTAATAACATAATTTGCACAACCAACAAACCTTATTATCATAATTACATTCCTTGCTGTGTGCTTTGTAAGAGACCTACACAAACATGAGCAGAGTTAATGCATGTACCTGCCTGTAATTTTCTACTGACCTAATTTCGCTAATTATTTCGCGGAAACCCTGAACTTTTAACCTACGACCTAGTTTTTTTTTCTCTTATCTACATCTATGTGCCTATATATGTGGAAAACTACCCACTATTAGAATTTATTACCTAGACTATTGTCCGTCTTCGCGTGCAACAAAAAAATAACGCACTTATGGTAATGCAGATTGTGCGTGCGAATATGTTTGTATGTATGGAGAATGGTGTATGATGTGATGATGTGGGGAACATTGAGCCAGATCTGTGTCACGATCTGATAGACTTTACAATTAACCCATCCAGGGTGGGTTTGTCCCAAAAATGCGTCTAAGTGAGCTTAACAATACGAGAGGCAATGTCTGGAATATTGACTAGAAAAATGTCAAATTTAGTATTTGTGGGTGCTCAATAATTAAAAACGGAAATCGATGTAGAAACAAAATAGTTTGTGGAACTTTGGTACTTATTGGACCATTGGATAGAGCAATTGTTAAAAACTGTCGAAATTTAACAAAACGTACGAAGATAAGCGTTCTTTCTTTAATACTGTAATGTTCCTGGGTTTAACAAATTAACTTTTAAGAAGAAAACTATTTATTTACACTAATTATTATTGAACTTAAAAACACTATTAAATTATTACTAAACTTCGGTAATTATTCTATTTATTTACAGTACTGTTACTATTCACTGTTCTATTTATTTCACTTCTATCACTGTCAGTTTATCTCTTGGTTCACTTCTGCAACGGTCAATTTATTTCTACTCCACTCGGCGATCGTCTCTTCCTTTAAATACTCCCTTGCTTCCTTTCGGGAACTTTCTCGAGCCGTCCAGAGAAGTTTCGTTTTCTTTAAACGGTTTGATTGCTTTCCCGGAACGCAGGTACGACACACACGTTTCCAGATACGGCGCACATGAAGAAAAGCGCCCGCGGCTAGTCGGCGAATCGATAAGCCGCTCACACATACGTATGCCCGATCGCACACAATCACGTTCGTGTTCGCTACAATACCTATGCTTGAAACTCATACTGACGATATTATTCGTCGTCAGTCTTAAAACTGGTTGGAAACGCACCGGAACTAATCTTCGTAATTCCCTAGAATTAGGAGATCCCATATCCTTAACTATTTGTGAACAATAATCTAATCTAGGTCTACCTCTACTCCTCCTAATTACTCTTTCTGCTTCTAATACATCTCTAACTAGCCCATTTCATGCCTGAGAACGTGTCGTATCAACCTATATCGCCTATTTTTTATTGACCTCCATAGCGCCCTCTGTTCTCGTACTATCTAACTTTCTCTATCCACGGTATCCTCATCATTGACCTCTAACACACCTCATTCTGAATGCTTCTAACCTTTTCTTTTCCGCTGCGCCTACCGTCTATGTTTTTTTTATTCTTTTTTCTTTATATTCGCTCTTTCTCTACTTTTTCTTCCTTTGCATAGCAATATTTTTGTTTTATTTTTATTTATTTTCATGCAATACAGTTTTAGAACAAACAAAATAGCTCAAAACCCCAACTTTAAAACACGACACTGTAGTTGTCCGAAGCACTTTTCGGTAACAAGGTTACCTTCTTCAGGAACTGAAGTAAACTCACATACCGAAAAGTGCTTCGGACAACTACAGTGTCCTGTTTTGACGTTGGAGTTTTGTTTGTTCTACCGTTCCTATTTTATTTAAGGCTATCTCTGACTTCTTCTTACTACATCTGCAAATCTGCTCATATTAATATGTTGCCCTTGTATAATTATCCTTAAGGCTGTCCTGTTTTTAACGATGCTATCATCAAAAGAAAAAGTTATATTGACAGTGTTTTAAGATAGTAATAGTCTCCTTTTTTGCGTTTTTATACCACTCGAACATGCTTTCGAATAAATAAAAGTCAGCAATGAGAGAAAAACGTCGCAGATATCAATAGAAAGGCATAATTCTTCTAGACGACAACGTTTGTTTTCAGACTGCCTTGAAGTCATATAAAACCGGCTGAGAGACACCACCCCACTCCTATTGCTAGGATTCGGGTTAATCTGATTTTCACACGTTTGGTCTACTCAGGGAGCAATAGAGTTCAAAAATTTTTTGAGAAGTTGGTATAGATTAAGAATAAACTAATTGCAGTAGATATTAAGAAGTTGGTTTATCGTTAAGGCACGCATATTAATTTAACTTATCAATTAATATTGGTGGGGATTATGCTACTGTAAAAACTTACTCGAAGGAACATTAATAATCCGTACGTTATATCAAAAATTTCTTAAAAGAGAATTAGTTACATATGCCTACAGTCTGCTGGGATAGGGTACGTTATAGGTTATAATCGTGGGTTCGTTGTTAAGTCCTAAGTTTTTCTTTTTTTTGTACTTCAAATATTTTTAATTTAAATTCATATTTGTAATTTTAAATAGTGTCTAAGTTAGTGACAACAGGACCAATTTACATTTTACCTGGGTATTCGTAGAACCCTTATAAACTGGAAAGAAATGTTGTATGACGATTGTGCTCACATTTAATGATAGGGCTTTCCATATTCTGTGTTATATTCAGTTTCTAGTTATTCACCCCCGCTAAAATAATATTCACCAATTTACCTGTTGGTAGATATAGTACATTAAGAATCAGACATCATTCAGATTTCATCGCTCAAACAAGTAAGTTTTGTTCCAGTAACCACCCAAAAATAGTTTTCTTTGTTGGGCGAATTTGATGCGATATGTGTAT